GATCTAACCTAATGCAAGTGTTTAATGCAATTGAAATCTAAAAATAGTAGATCAATATGAATGGAAATGCAGGAAATTAAAAGTGTTTGAAAGTAAATACAAGAAATAGTAAATTGCTTGAAACCAAAACTAATTTTTCATGCTGAAATTTAAATGTGTTGAACTTAAATCGCAGATCTACACTTCCAAAATGTAAAAAAATCTTGAGTTGAGCTAAGAAACTTAAATCAACGTGTGAATAACAAATGCAAGTAAAGAAATCAGGTAAATCAATGCAAGAGCAAGCTCATTCAAATTGAACAAAATCTAAGTGCTGGAAATGTAAAAATAGAGCAATTAAAAATAAATAAGCCAAACAACAATTGAAAAAAGCAATTTAAGTGCAAGAAATTGAAATTAAGCAAGTAAACAAGTAAATCAACAAGATCAAATAAAGGAAAGAGTGGACCGATAGCTTAGCAAGGAGAGAAGACTCTACAAGTGCTATCACCACCGTTACCTCTACTACCTGTTTGCCAATTAAAACTTCAAAGATTTTTAGAAAAAAAATGCAAATTGAATTTGACAACAAAATTTTTCAGATCCAAAGTCTTATGAATTGAAAGTAATAAAAAAAATGAAGCAAAACAAGCAAGAATTGATGGAAAAAAGCTATAAATTAAACAGTGCTCAGAAAAAGAATTTGCCAAATAACTTTGAGAATGTAAAGAAAATGCATGTAAAAAAATGTAACCTTGTTTGTGGCGAGTTAGAAAATAGGTTGAAAGAGTGAAAGTGTTAGGATAATAGGATTAGGATAAAATATAAAAATGTAATTTTGTTATTATTTTTATTATTACAAAACAATAAGCGAACATATACAAATCCTAAACAAATAGAAGCAATTCCTAAAAAAACGAGTTTTAATTGATCCTTAAATGAGTTTGTTATAGAATATAAACAAACCGAATAGATCTTTGTTGGTGTTCGGTTTGTTTAATAAGCGAACATAAAAATGCTATTCGAGATCGTATGTTAAGTTTAATAAATGAATATAAATAAATAAAAATCAAACATATTCACAAACAATTCGTCGAAAACTCTATTTATTTATACCTTTAGTCATGCGACATTAGTAATGATGAGTAAATATAAACAAATGAAAACTAAACATATTCACGAACAGTTTATTGAAAACTCTATTCATTTATACCTTTAGTCACACGACATTAGTAATGATGAGTTTTTCTTGAAAAATTCATACCATGAATTTTTTAAAAATAAAAACTAAAAGAAGACAAAAGAGGAAAAGATCGAAAAAGAAAAAAAATCAAATTTAGATGTGATATCAACACCTTTGCTAATATCTTTTTTTTTTTTAAATTTTCATATTAAAAAAAAGGAAAAATATATTTTTAAATAATAATATTGAATGGATCCCATATTTAAGAAATTTTAAAATTTTAAAAAATATTTATTAAATATTGAAAAAATAAAAAATAAATAGGAAAAATATAAAAAAGAAAAAGTGAAAAAAGAAACCAAATAACTTCACATGTGATATACTTTTAATATTAAGTGAGTCTCACAAAAAAATTAAAATCTAAAAAACTATTTATTAAATGTATAAAAATTTTAAAAAAGTAAAAAATGAAAAAAAAAAAAAAAACATATGCATATCATACTTTGGTATTAAGTGAGTCTCACATAAAAAATAAAATCTTTAAAAATATTTATTAAATATTTAAAAAAAGGAAAAAACAAAAAAAAGGTAAAAAAGAAAGAAGATATAAGTAGATGTCACGCAAAAAAATCTTTAAAATTTTTTTAATTTTAAAAAATTTTATTTATTAAAAAAAGTTAAAAAATAAAAATGTAAAAAAGAAGAAGGAATAAATGGAAAAGTTAAAAAAAAAAAAGCTTAACTAGTGGTAATTTGCAGATCCATTGATCTGCACCATTTTTTTATGCCGAGGCTAGGTTTTTTATACTCGATACTATTAAGTTAATAGAAAATAAAAAAGAAAGTAAGTTTTAAAATTTACAAAATATAAAATATTATAATAGATATTTAACATGTTAGAAATTTTGTTGGCTTTCCTTTTTCTATATTTCTATCGAATTAGACCATTAAAAAGCGAACATTTTAAGAAAAAACAGGAGGTAATCAATTTTCATATCTTTCCTTTATTTAATTTAAAATTTTTCCTGAGCAAATGAATGATTTCTTTCTTTTTATTGCTTTCCTTACTTTTTTTTTTCTCTCTAAGCAAACTAAAGGTAATAATAGTTTAGTTCATTTTGGTTTCAGTTTGGTTATTTTGATTAATGTATAGTATTACGGATTTTAAAAATTAATTTGAATTCAAATTAAATATTTTTTAAAATTGATTTGATTTAAATTTTATCAATTTGGTGAGATTCATTAGATTTTAAAATTAGTTTTTAAATTTTAATACAAATTTTAATATGCTTAAATAGATATAAATATAAAATAATTTTTTATTTTATAAAAATTTAAAATATATTTAAATTAATATAAATATATAATTCTAATCGACTTTAATATTTTTGATTTTTTTTATTTCTTGATCTAAATCTAATAAAAATATTTAATATTTAAACTTAAATAAAATCAAATAAGACAAAAATAATTCGATTCAAACTAAATATTATAATTTCAAATCGATTTTTAATTTTTTCTATTTTTTCTCACCCATACAACCTATTGTCTTAATATAACATTAGAAAATAAGAAAACTTTTAATTATGACAATCAATTTTCTTTTAGCGAGATAATCAACTATCATTCCTAATATTACCCTCACCGTTATGATAGCATTAAAACACAATTTTTTATTTATTTTAATCCACCGTAAAATATCTAATTTTATAGCTATATTAGATACAAAGATTGTGCCACATTCTAATTCTAATGCTATTAATTCACCCAAACCCTTTCTTTAATCTAAGGTAATATTTGGATAAATATTTATAAAGGAAAGAAAATGAAAGGAATGAAATAGAAAAGAAAATTTTTTAAAAGAAAAAAAAAGATATATATACCACTTGTTTGAATAATTAAAATTAATAAAAAAATAAAAAAAATAGAATTTTAATACCTATTGTTTGGATGAAGAATTAAAAATAAAAAAAATGATTCATTATAATAATTTTTTGTAAAAATAACTTTTTCATTACCAATAATTTCAGAGCACCCTTAGATCATGATATGTTCATTATCTTGTACGGTATCACAATTATTATTATATTAATAATTTTTAATCAAGTAAAATAAAAAAATATTTTACAAACATGTATTGATAAATTTTTTTTGTTATTCTCAAAATTTCAATATACTATCACTTTGGTGATGTATTCATATAAAAGCTATTAAATATAAAAAATGTAATCACATAAAAATATTATATCTCATAAATCCAAAAAATATGTTTATTCATATTCCATCATTCATCAAAATCAAATCACCAAAAAATTATAAAAACTTTTTATATTAAAAGAGACATGTGAAATTTATTTTAAAAAAGAGATAAATTTAAAAAAATTATAAAAAAATTTGTGATGTGATTAAGTTTTTTTAACTAAGTTTTTAATATTAATAAAATAATAGATATAATATTCTTTTTATAAAAATAAATTTTTTTAAACTCTTTTTTCTTAGCTTTTCTTCAAAATTAAAATATTAAAAATGTGAAAATTACAAATGAAAATCAAATATTATTAAATTTTCACATTTTTTTTAAATTAAAAATTTATTCAAATAAAAAAAAATTCTGTTTTCACTACTTTCTTCAATTTTCCTTTCTTTCTCTTCAATTCAAACATAGTGCAAATCTATACTATGTATTAAAACGGGGATAGTTGCTTATCACTTGTCCAAAATTTCAAAATTATTATTTTACCTCTTAAAATGTATAAATATTACAATTTAAAAAAAAAAACTGGTCGTAAGAAGAACTGGCCTACAAAAAGAACCAAGCATCAATACAGAAAAGCCTACAAGCATAAATTGAAAGAAAAAAAAATGTTGGCATGAACAAAAAAAAACCAAGAACGAAGAGCAGCCACACAAAAGCAAGCGAAAAAAGCAACAAAAAAACAAAAAAATGGAGAGAGCGTTCAGTTTAGTTGTTCTAGGCAGTTTTAGGCCTTCAAATTTGGTGAGGGAGAAGGCAAGGGCGAGGAGAATAATATATTGACGGATGTAACCTTTTGAAAGCGACGAACGAGAGGTATTTTTAGGGTTAAAATCAAGATTAATTTTGTAAATAAAAGAGAATCTAAAATGTTTTAGGGAAAACTAAAGAAGAGGTTGAAAGGAGTTAGTGGTGAAATTTGAGTTTAAAAACATGTCGATGAGTGACGGCAATGGCAACAATGATTACTGTCGATTGTTGAATTCTGAAAAGTGAAGGTTGTTTTTTGGTTTTATCAAGAGAGAAAGTAGAAAAAATGGAAAGATAGAATAAAAAAAGAAATAATAATAAAAAACATGAAAGTGAAAGGTAAAAGTTTGATTTTCTTGTGTTTTTTTTTGGTTTTTTTTTATAGCCAAAAGCAATAATATTCGGAAAGCATGTTATTTTTTAATTTGGCCCAAGGTTTATTGAGGTATTTAAAAATTTTTTTATATATTTTATTGTTATGCATAAAATAAAATCATAAAAATAATTATTTAAAATAAATAAGTGATTATTAAATTAATTTTTTAAAATAGAATTATTAAGGAATTATTGAGGAGTTAATTGTGATATTTGCAAAAAAAAAAAAAAGAGATGATAATAAAAATTTAATTGAGAGACATTACATATTATTTTTTTAAATCTTAATGTATTTGTAATATTTTGTATGTAAATTAATATTTTTATTACTTTTGTATTAAAATAATTATAAAAATGTTTAGTAAAAAATTAATAATAAGCAAAATTATTTCAAATAAATACAAACGGTAACTCCATTCATATAAGACACACATTCTACTATTTTAGTATCAATTACTTAATAAATAAATCTAATATTTTAGCATCAATTACTTAATAAATAAATCGATTTACTTAGCCCAGGGAATGAATACTAGTTTTATTTAAAAAAAAAGAAACCTCAACGACGCAAGGTCGTAGTGTCTAAGAGCGCCTGTGACTTGCTTGGAACAAAATCCCCATTTCATCAAATTTTGCTGTTTAACTAACGAATCGCCGGCGGTAGTCTTAGTGGGCTAATTGCCGTTAGATAGAACGATAATCGAACATGTCGAACGAAGTAAGTGATTTCGGTAAAGATGTGGTCGATGTTTTGAAATCCCAATTACAGTCTCTCCGAAATAGAGTCAAGGTACTTCTTGCTTTGCCTATTTCTTAATTCCCTTTGCTTTTCAACTCTTGTTTTATCATTATTTTTTTCTTTTTCTTTTTTTTTTTGTAATTTATTTAATCAGGAATTAGAAACTGAGAATGCAAAGCTATCTTCTCAACTCTCCAAATGTTGTTGCCATATGGTTTGTTACTGGCTCTGAATTTCTTTCTTTTATTATTATTATTATTATTATTATTGCTTTTTTTGCTATTACGTGCGGTGAAGAATTAGTTTTAAATGGTACTTCACAACATAGTTGTTGCATTAAAAGGTAAAATCATGCCTTTTGCTGTCCTTGAAAGTTGAATCTTCAATTTTTTTTTTTAAAATTACTTGCTCTTTAACCAAAGACATGTTCTTTTTTTTTTTTTTTTGCTTCTGGAAATGAAAAACAACTAATAGAAGTAACGGTAAGACCTAGGACAGAACCTTAATTTACAATTAAGTAGCCTTTGGTGTGCTTGTAAAAACTTTATAGGCCTTGGGGAGTGTGGCATGAGTTGTAGGTCTTATTTGGTTTTGGATTTCTATGTTCCTTGTTGTGTGCATTTCATATTTTTCAGTTGATCTAAAAAGGGAGGACAGGTTTTTGGGATAATAGTCATAATTAGTTACCTATGAGACTAAAGTATTGGTATGACGCAGAGAGAGGAGATGCTTAACACTTATGATGTAGAAACTTTCAATCCGGGTTTGCCAAGTCAGAGAAAAAACACCGGAGGTGATAAGACCAGAAAAAAGAAAGCAATAGAAAGAATTCCAGGTTTCTTTCCTAGTCTTTGTCTATTGACTAATTTTAAATATCATTTGAGTTTGTCGACAACAGTGAAAAATCTTTATGGATTGCGTATTGTGATTTGAGTAAACATACAGTGTCTTTGTGTTCAAAGTTTCTACTTTATGTGACAGAAACATTTGCCAAGTTGCGAACCACCATGTGGTCTGTTGGTAGAATGCTTGATTCTTAATTCCAGTGACTAAGGTTAAAATCTTGGTAGCCTCAAATAGGCAAAAAATAAAATAAAATGCCAAGTTTGAATAAAATCTCAAGAATAAAAAGTTTGTCGTGTGGGTTTTTAATAATAAAGTTTCTCTGTGGTCCAATATATGTCCTCCATCATGCATACATGTTGAATGTGAGATTCTTTGTTAGATTCTTGGTAAAACCACCTAACTAGTTTATTAGTGAAGTTAGTCGGCACCTTCAGCCCTTTCTCTAGTTCCCTAATGCATTTACTCCCTTAGTGTGCTGATAAATGAAATATGATATAGCAGAAAAGGATGAAGTCTATACCTAAATGCCCACCAATCAGTTGGTGCATTTTTATTAAAAGATATGAAATAAAATGAACACGGGTTTACTAAGTTGAATAAACCAAATCCCCTATGTACCATGTAGCCTGCAGATAAATAACAAGGCACAATCTCCTCTTTGTGGCAGCAACATCTGGTAGTCATTTTTCATGATTTTTCTGATGTTTCTTTTACTACAAATTATCGGATTTGAATTAATCTTGTTGGTTTCTCCTTCTATTGTATGCTTTTGATTTCTATGGTTGTTGTATCCTTCCTGTTTCAAGTTTCATATACTGTTTCTAAAAATATACTGTTTCATGTGCACTAGATGAAACAAAGCAAAATTTACGTATCTGGGATCTTATATTGAGAGATCCATGTGCGATTATTGCAAAAATATTTACCATAGTTCATTCATTTTTGCTTGCTAATGATCGCCATTTGGTTCCTGAGATATGAAATTGGAGATTTGTTGCATTAGCATATAGTGTTTCATGAAACTGCTGCATAGCTAGTCTGGCATAGAGCAATAATTACTAACCTTCTGCTTGATTGCATTATGAATTCACAGAAAAAGAGTGGAGAAGGCAGTAATAATGGCCATTGTAAATTTGAAGTGTATTATGATGTTATCTTAGTGAAACAGTTTCCTTGGTCATGCAATTTTATTTTGCTTAGGCTTATACATTCTCTCAAGTAGTATTATATTTCATCGGACATATTCCTATGTATTAAATTTTATCATCTATCTTTCTAAACAGGTTATAATTTGGAAATCATGACTCACCATTCCAAGAGATATGTTGCCCTAAAAGTCATGTATTTTGGTCAGAGGTATGCAATGCAACCATAATCCCTTGTCATACCTATGTCTTGGCATCAATAGCATAATTCCTTTGGCTAGTGGAAGGAGAGGAGAATAGAAAATAGCAACTGGATAATCATGGTAGAAGAACTGGTTTTAACAATGGCACAGTTCAATTTCATGTAAATTGGTTCAGCCTTCATTCCAGCAAGTCAGGGTCGACCACATCAATGATTTTCTGCCATTCTTTCTGGTTAGGGTGTTGTTCCTTCTGGAAAAGCAACAACATGTCCACGAGGGTGGGATGCCCTTTAGTATGTATTTTCTTTAGTAAATGCTGCTACTCCAGTTAATGACTTGCTGGCATTTGAAAAGATTGAGATGTTGAATCTTGGACTGAGTTTCTTCTAGTATTAACATGGCATAGGGTTTTGCTACATAGTTTACCTTGTAAGATGCTTACTTAATACCAACCCATAGTTAATTTAAGATGATCACAGGGTTAAGTCCTTCTAATGCATAGTCTTGGTAGGTTAAGCGAGACTTATTCTTTGCTTCAGTAGGGTCTCTCTTCTCTTTGCATTAAAACTCTGGTCCTTGGCTACCACTATGTGTTTATGTACCTCATTTCCCATTTTATTATTTGATTGTGGAAGCCTTAATATTTGTTTTTTAAGAAAGAATTAAAATTTATAAATTGTAATGAAAGTGGAAGGCAACTAAAGCTTATAATTTCATGTGCTATATGACAGGTTTTATGGTTTTGCTTCAGAAGCACAAATGGATCCTACTATTGAGGTATGGTGCTTAAATTTCTCTTGGAACTAAACTGCTGAGGTATGACAAGTGCAAGACTTGTTTGAATGTTTAAACAATTTATATTTGAGAAAAGAGAATTAACTAAGTATATACTTGAACTAGTATCAGATATGAACTTGTACAATTATTTTTGTTGAATGATTCAATTAGTTTCATTCTTGAATACATTTGTATAATTCTAGTGTCCATGCAGTCTGAAATTTTCAAAGCTCTTGAGAAAACAAGGCTTTTAATTGGTGACAAGAAGGAATCACGGTACTCAAGATGTGGCAGAACCGATAAGGGAGTCTCTTCTGTTGGTCAGGTAAGTTGATCACTAGAAGAACCTCCTTTAATATAATCCCTTAAGAGTGTCCTTTCACAAATTGGAGAAATCTGCAAGGTAGCTGTTGCTGATGGTTTTGATGTTTGGCAAAGAATGTAGCTCTTATTCCATATGTGAAGTTGTGTTTATATAAAATCCATAAATTAACAACATCTCATATTTGGTGGTTTAAGATGTCTTTGGTGTTGAGATTGAGTGGATGTTTTATGTAATATACTGTTGTTGAATCTCTTTCATTTGCATTAGTCCCTATTGATTCTCATAGAATTGAAATAGACTTCTTTTTTTTAATGTTTTTTTGAGCTTTCTGAAATATAGAATTCATTTCTAAAAGAAGACCAAATTTCTAACTTAATAAAATTCAGAACCACTTTGAAAATTGTAGTGACTTTAGTGTATTGTCTTTATGAGAGCCTTTATTATGATATTACATGTTCGAAATTCTGCTCTCTTTTTTCCACCTTTTAACATGAATTATTTACACAAATATATTAAGATGCTTGAAGTTACCATTGTGATTTGTTTGGCATACCCTACAAGACCCAAAACAATGATCCAAAACTTTTAAATTTCGTATGAAACATGAATCCTGTTAAATTATTTAATTTCAGTAGTAAAAGTTTTGACAATGAGGTTTGCTTGAATAATTGTTAGACTTACTAGCAATTTTTGTACTTTGCTTTAGAATGTCTAAATGTCAAGTAGTTGTGAGAACCGACCAAAAAAAAAAAAAAAAGACAAAGTAGTTTTGAGTATTTTTTGTAAGATGCAAAAGGCCAATGTGCAAGGCCTACCTTAACAGAAATATGTGCTGACACGCTAGAAAAGAAATTTACCTATATGTAGTTTTGTTATTTGATATTTATAACTTTTCTAGCTTGCCTTGACCAAACCTTGTCTTCTGAATTGGATATTGACACATATCCACATTTTGTTTTTCGATATTGATTCTATGGATTTTTTTTTTCTGTTTCACTCTGTGCGTACATGTAGCCCGAAGGTATTGGGTAATTGCCCTATTTTATTTTGCTCAAATACCATACATGTGCCATTGGTTCTTTACCAGAATGAACTGAAATTGATTTTTGTTAAAGATAATTAGTGTTTGTTTTTACACGGTGGTCTTCCCTCAATGCTAGGACATATAATGATAAAAATGTTGGGAATTGGTCATGCAAGAACCATGTAAACGCAGTGGAAATTAAAATTTTTCTAATTCTCAAACCATGGGATCTTGTTGATAATAACTTATACAATCATGCAACAAAATAAGCAAGAGCAGAATTTCGATACCTTGGGTAGTTGTGTGCGATAATCACCAAGAAACACCAAGCTTGGTGGTTGCAAACCAACAACTGAATAAGTGTTCAGCCTCTAACTTTAGTCCACATGAACAAGGAGGAAATAAACTTCATAAAAGTATGGGAAGAAGCTGGATGAATCCTGCATTAGTAGGATATGTGCTTGCCCGCTTTTGTTTTCTCTCAATTTGTTCTCAATGCATGAGATTGATTATTCTATTGAATAGCATGAAGAGAAGGCGTCACTAGTCTTCTTTAAATAGAGGAAGGGTTTAGCCAAATCCTATTCCAAATAGAATTCAGAGGTATGGCCAGCTATCCTTTATTCCAGTAGGCATTGGGCCTTTAGTAATTCCACTATTTGCGCCTTTAATTAATTTTATCCCAATAAATAACTCCAACTTAAATTAACCCAATCCCATTTTGTTGCCAATACTAGACTACCACCGGTGCAAGAGTTCATCAACAACCAAGATTTGAAGAATTATTCATGAGGCTGTTTATTCTTTGCTTTATGTACTTTCCATTTTCGAACCTTTTTTCTCTTCAGCTTTTTAGCTTGGTGCATATCTTGTTCTCCATTCAATTTTAACATGATGGACCTAACTTACTTTGAATTATATATGTGCCCCTATTCTGCCACTAATTGGAGAAAAATTAGAATTATTCATGATGTTGCTCGTTATTTCCATGTTTAATGTTTATTCTTGCATCCTGTTTTTGAACAATGGTTTACCCCCATATTTGAATGTTAAGAACGTGGAAAATGTTTGATGCAGGTGATTGCATTGTTTTTAAGGTCAAACCTCAAAGAAACTGATGCAAACAACAAAATTTCTGGAGAATTAATTCCAGATACACGAACTGGTCAGCCGGTTATTCTATCCTGGAGTCTCTAACTTAGATTAAAAGCTTTATCTTTAGATATCATCTGATGTTGGTAATTCATGGCTTTTTCTTGAATTCTATCACTTTCTAGGTTCTACTGCAATTGAACATGAAAGGACTTAAATTTTAACTAATAAAGGCTAGCAAAAAATAGAATTTTAGGATGTACTGTTTTGGTTTGAGGGTAAATCAAACTATTTAAAGAGCTTTGATTTTATACATGTTAACCAGTCTTACTTGGTTGTCAGCATTGAGAGAACTGATTATGCAATTGGAGAAACTAGAATGAAAACTGTGGGTCAAAGTAGTGATGAGATGGAATAGGATCCTTGTATGTAAATATTTTAGGCCAATGAGTGGGCTAAATTGTGGAGTAATAAAACTCTAGTATCATAATTGTTCCAATACCTTGCATGTCTTTAATGTTCTCACTTGTGCTATCAAGTTAAACTCCTGAGCAATTCCAGTGATTACTCATGTATGAAAGTGCAAAGTAGGGCACAATGCCCATGCATAATAGGGACAAACTAGTACAAAAGTCACAAGTTTCAGGAAAATAAATCAGATCAAGATTAGAACTAATTAAATAAATAATTCATTAATTTCTGTTTGCCATGAGCATCACATCAGTATTCTGTATTGGTGAATTATTGCCTAATCCGGATACCACGTTAGAAGACGAATTATAAGATCTTTGCCCGGTCTTAGTGGAAAACTTTCAAACTTCAAAGTTTGATGCATTTGAGCTTGGTCTCTGCAAGAAAATTCAAATAGATATGAAGTAAAATTCAATGCATTTTAAAATGGTTTTAGCTATTTATTAGCTTTTGCCTATTTACAAAATTATGTGAATAAACTGACAGTGAAGTTAAAATGAAAAAATATATATCTTTGATCTTAACTCACACTGTTATTATTTTTTTGAATCTTTGTCAGAAGGAGAAATTGATTATGTGAGAGTACTGAACCGAGTCCTTCCAAACGATATTCGAATTTTAGGATGGAGTCCTGTTTCAATTGATTTCAATGCAAGGTCTTTCTAAAATTTTAAAAAGTTGATTTCCTTTTTACATTTTGAGGATGGTTGTGTGGATTTAGTTTACAGAGGATAATAATCCTAGTTCATCCTTAATGGGTTTATAGTAGTCAGAGTTATTGGCTAAGTGTTATTATGAAAATTATCTTTTCAAACTCGTTATATTATTTATCTTATGGGTTAATACGTTTGCTTATTGTCTGTAATGCAGGTTTAGCTGTTTGGCTAGAGAATATAGATACGTCTTTTGGAGAGGAAATTTGAATCTCCCAGTAAGCAATCTTTTTACATGGATTCTGAGTTCTGAATTCTGACCATATGCTGACCCTACTTTATGAGGTCTCATCAGAAATATGAGATAATGAGATTCACAATATTGTAATATTTTTTTATTTATTACCAGGCTATGGAGAATGCAGGAAAGAAATTTATAGGAGAGCATGACTTCAGAAACTTTTGTAAGATGGATGCAGCAAATGTACACAACTACAGGCGGTGTGTTACATTGTTTGAAATTTCTTCTTCTAATATTAGGTAAGAATCTATCTGTTCTGGTTCATGCAAGTGAGAATATATATATATATATATATATATATATAGAGAGAGAGAGAGAGAGAGAAAGAAAGAGAGAGAAGCCAGATTTTCTCCTCCAGATTTTTGTTTTGCTTGATTCATTCTTTTGGTACTTCAAAATTAATCGGTTTTAACATATTCATGAATATCGTAGTTTTTGGTATACTGTCCTTGTTATTATTTATTTTTCTTAAATGTCATCAAATTAGTTGTTGAACTTGTGCTTCTATTATTTCTAATTTATGGCTGACATGAATTCCATAACCTGTCTTTAGTGCGTATACCACATTTAATCCTCTACAGTTGCCAATTTTGGTTGGATAACGTTGATGTATCAACAAAAAGTCACTTATATGATCTGCCTAGTTAGAATGTATGAAACGGTGGATAATCTTTTGTTATATTCACAGGCTTGAAGGTAATCAGCTTTGTGCAATTAAAGTTAAAGGTAGTGCCTTCCTATGGCATCAGGTTCGGTGCATGGTTGCTGTACTATTTATGATCGGCCAGGGTCTCGAATCAGTTGAAGTGCGTGACAGTTGTTCTTGTTACCTCTTTGTTTTCTGTTTTTGTTAATTTGCTTGCTACATCAGAGGTGGAATTCAAGAGACACCAGAACTCAATATTTTTCCTTCATACTGGTCCTTTTTCCTGACATTGACTGGTATGAGACATGATGGCCAATTCAAAAGTTAATTATGGCATCCTTTTACCTCAATTTCAAAGGCTGGCCTAGTGTGTGCATTCTGGCATAAACCAATAAGTCATCCATGGTGATGAATTTATAGCACTCTGACTGACTCTTCAGTCCAGAATTTCGTGCTTAGAGTTTGCTTTTCCTTAACCCTTATAACTAGTTATAAATCACGAATAGAAATGGGCATAACCACCTTGAGTTAGAACTCTTGGCATAAGTGATGGTTATGGAAAGAATTTCCTGGGATCTTCTTGTAAGCATGGGATGCAGCTTTAAAATGATCTTCAACATGGTAACTTGATTATAAGATGCTTAAATCTTTTTAACTCTTTCTAGAGTATTTTGCATGTATCTTTATTTGTGGTATGAATTACATTAGCATCGAATGATCAACCTGTCCCTTTTTGTATAGGTGATAGATTCATTACTGGACACAGAGAAGACACCAAGAAAACCTCAGTATGCCATGGCTCCAGAGATACCATTGGTCCTTCAATCATGTGAATTTGAAGATGTCAAATTTATTTGTTCATCAGGTACATGATACACAAATGGACCTTGAATCCTTGCTTACACTGCATGTAGGATACTGATTTTTATGCTACAAGTTGTTCTGATCGAGAGAAAATGGAAGAATGTTTGCAATTTGCATCCATATATTACTCACGCCTTTGCCAAGTTGGCAACCATTTACACTTGAAATATTTGTGTTATCATGTGGTTTTATGTGTAGATTCTGGGAAAGCACTGCGTATACACTTGGAAAATGAATGTCAAGCATACCAGCTCCAATCTGCAATTTTTCATGAGGCTGTTCTGAGCTGCTTGCCTTTAGCAAATGGTGCAGAAACCAAATTTCTATCATATCATTTCTATCAGTCTTACTTTTCTGTTTATCTGTGTTGCTGAAAGAGCTTTGACTTTTTCAGACCAGAGTACATTGAATAAGGGAACAATCAAGAAGGTGGCTTCCCATGTTCCTCTCTTGTCACGGCCAACTGAGCGTAAGTGCTGCTACTCTTCGAGCATTCATTAAATTGAGGCTTTAAATGCATATCATTGATAGAAGATGAAAGTACGTTGTCATTATTCATATTCATGTGGATGTTTGAATAGGAGTCATTAAATGCATTTATTACCACCAAAGAGAAAAAGTTGTGTAGGAATGTTCAAAGGTTTGCTTGTAGATAACAGAGTTCCAATCAAACCTCATATCTGTTTGCTTTCTATGACTAAAATGTTTTCATCAGAAAATTGACGATCATGGTTACTTCCCTGGCAATCAGCCTTGTAGAATGCTATAATAGTCATTAAGGAAATGCCTGTTTTGGAAGAAATTAATACTTTTGATGTACAAATAACATGTCTCTTGCTTGAAAATGCAGGGTGGCCCTCCTGTACTTTTTATTCGCCCTTAATCTTTGCTTACATTCACAGATAGAAGCTTAATGGTTGGTTTTGAAATGAGGAATAGAATATAAAAACTTGATAGCTTAATTGTCTAAGTTTTTTATGATAGATGTGTTGCAGCAAACTCCAGAGTATTAACCTAGACAACTTTTTTGTTTTTTCTTCGTTTTGGTCTAATGCATTTAACCTTTTGGCCTAAGCTTTCCATGACCAACTGAAAACCCTCATGCGTTTTAAAGAGATTTATAGTGTAGTCTATAGGTTTTCTACATAATATCTGTAAAACCATAGTTTTCTTTTACTTTCTGCAGAATGCTGCAGGCATTCTGTATGTTTTTCTTCAACTTTTGCCAATTGACATGTCCTAAACGTAACTTTCCAACCTTTCTTTTTTCTTTTCTACCTAACTTGTTTCTCCCAGCATCATACGAAGATCGGTGTGCCAAACTGAATTCAAGAAGATGAAACTGGAAAACATTTTGGGTAATCATTCTGACTTCATTATCCTTCACCTCTAAATTTTGTGCTGTACTATGGAATAAGTATGGAGTTCATAGTTTTGAGTTGTTTGCTGGAAAGCATTTTGGTTAATCATGTTGACTTAATTACCCTTCACCTCTAAATTTTGTGTTATACTATGGACAAGTACGGAATTCATAGTTTTGTGTTGTTTGTACTTCTTAGTCATGCCAGGGAATATGTAATTTTACAAATGGTGAATTTTGATCATTATCATCTAAGGAAAAGTGTTCTCTCGTATGGCTTTCACAGTTTTCACTATATTGCTTTTACTTACTTTTCTTTTTGGCTACATTGGGAGCAAAGTTAAAGTGAAACTAAAGCACAAATAGTCATGGCCAACAGGTATGAGATTCGAATCTCAAAGTTGTAATTTTTTTCTTCTATTCTTAAGTTGCGACTTCTTTTGTACTAAAAAATAAAATGAATTACTAAGCACAGGCTCAACAAGTAGGAGGCTCTTCAGACGCATTAAATCCCAAAGATAAATACCGCAAGCTATCGGCCGTCTAATCTGCCAGGTCAAAGCGGACTAACCTTTTTTTTTTTTTTTTTTTATCACAGGTTCACATATAAAGTAATTACTTGAATATGTTTAGTTTGTGGTGATTAATCTTCCAAGTTATCTGTTGTTTACCACTTGGGTCATTGATCTTTTATGAGGACTAAGGAGATAATTTTGGAGGGCATCATCCCTGTCTATGCTCTTTGATCCACTTCACTCTTCAACTACCAAGTAGAAAAAGCCACAAAGGGGAATTAGGGCAGACATTAAGGGCTAGTATTGCATGCAAAGGCAATACCTTGAGATATGGGATTTAATATGGAAAACAGAAGTGAAGTGGCGAATACCAAGACATTCTACGAGGCCTATTTGAAACATGTGCAATTCAAATCACTTACCATGCAGATCTGTGAAACGGAATTATAACATGCATTTCCTCAACAAAACCAGTGATACGATGAAACCACTTTTTTTTTTATTAATTAGCGGCAAGAGGTTTTTGGGTTTTGCTCAATGCGTAAATACGTACAACCCTTTCCGAATCGGTTTAAGTAGGATTATTTTTGTTAAATTTAATAAATTTATAAAAAAAATTATCTTATCATAGTCTTTCACCAAATTCGAAGCCACTTTGTTATGATGGTGCTGTGGCAATTTTTCCAAGTATTTAATTTCCATAAAAACAAACAATATGTCATGACAATTACCCCGGAAAGTTTTTCATCAACACAGTAAATTACGACCAATGCTTCATTGACTGATGATGAATTGTTGGAAGAAGTGGGACTGAGGGAGGAATCTGTACGTGCGTGAGCTGAGAACTTGGTAATCACGCAGAACATAAGGGATGATCGAGGTCCTTGTTAGCCCAATAACCTTAATTTGCCGCAATTGGGCCGGTGATTCATTCAGTTTTCTACCTTAAGTGGTACTTCCTTCATGGTGCATCTATATGAGTTTGTAACTGTTTGGTAAGTAGTCAAATTGGATGTACATCTGCAGATGGCTTACAAGGAAAATGACAGTAGATAAAAGTATTCGTTCGATTAATTTTAGATTGAATTATATTATTTTATTTTTGTTAATTAAATTGAATTTATAAATTTTAAAAATTAACCGACTAATTTTAATTCGATCGATTAATTTTTTTGGTTTTTCAAATAATAAATGCATTTAAATTAAATTATACTTTAAATTCTTAATTTTTCATATTTAAAATAAATTAAATAAAATATTCAAAATACTAAAATATTTTGTTAAAAATTCTAACAAGTTATGAAATTAAATGATTTATTTAATGTATTTTTCATTTTATATTTAGATTATGTTATATTTTGATTAAAATTTTGATTAATTCGGTTTTCAAACCAAATTAATCAAAAATCGAAATTTTTCTAAAATTATTTTCGTTAATTTATCGAAATTAATTCAATGACTGATTGATTAATCGAATTAAATCGATTATTGATTAATTTGCTTAAACCAAATTATGAACACCCCTACAAATCGAGTTTACAAGTTGTCCACAGTAGCAATACTTGCAGCAGACTTGCCCCTGACATTTACTACAAGGACAAACGGTAAACATCACAGATATGGTATAACATGCTCCCGCGGAAACAAAAAATTTACCACATGACAAAACGGTAAGCACCACGATCTGGTATAACATGCTTCCACGGAAACAAAAATATATCACACGACAAATTTGAAATAGGTAATAAGCATGTACAACAGGACAGAATCTGGATTCTAATATTATATTAAACATCCAACCTTAAATCAATTGGTGTAAGATATAGGAGTTTAATTTGAATATAAAAACATAAATAATCTAATATTTAACAGATGTAAGATAATATCATTTTAACAAAATTTTCTGTTCGTTTTGTCGCCAGCACCTGCTATTAGGAATCCGTCATTTCTATCCTCTAATTATTCCTACAAAAGCATCATGGGAATTGTCTAGATCAAACAATAAACTAAAGGTTTCTGAATCAGCTGAGCAAATGGACATGACGGTGTTGATGCTGAAGCTAAAGCGGCGAGATTGGAAGCAGTTTTGCTTGAAGTGAAACTATATTGGAAGTGTCAAGATCTGATTTTGGAGTGTGCATCCAATGTTGTGTGTAAGAAACAGAATGATGCCTGTCGAGAATGCTTCTTTAAAAGTTTTTATCATGGTTGAATGCATAATTTAAGGATGTAGATATGCCTTTGAGAAGCTGACGGAATTAGTCAATGTCTTTGATATATCATGGTGAAGTATCCTTTATACATGAGCCTAAATCTGCAAATATACGTGTTCCTATATATGTTGGTTCCAAGCAGGAAACTCTCAAGTACATATAATTGGCATTGAGTTATAAAGCTGCTGGCTCTATATGTCCTGGTGTGCACTTGTATGTATCAATCTTCTCCTTTTATTATTGTGTACTAACAATTATTTAATAATTATGGTGGTCCGTGGAATGCCATACTTTGCATATACCTATCTTTAGGACGAATCATGAAGGAGTAAAACCTGATCGCTTCACTTTTGGTGGTGTTCTTGCAGATATGAACATGCATTTAAAAGTTCAAGGCCTGGCCTACTTGTCAGGTGTGTGAACTAGTCTTTGGTGGACTGGATATAGTATTATGAAGAATCGAAAGGCTGGTTGATGGTTTCAGACCTTCTCATGAAATGGGTAAGAAAAACAAAAAACAGTTGGAATTTGGATGCATACCGATACAATGTGGCTGGGAACCTGAAATGAAAATGAATGAATGTAAAATCAAGGTTCACTCTTGCGACGGCTTTCAAGTTTTAATTCTCATGCAAATTTAGCTTGTTTGGATTTGGAGGAAGGAAAGAAAGTTAAAGTTCATGGATTGAGCATTAAACTTCACATGTCCAAAAAAAAAAAAAAAGTTCTAAAAGGGTTGAGGTAGCTTCTAAATGCTCCTTTGTTTTTGCTCTTCACATTTTTTTTTTTCAAAATTTATCTATAAATAAAATTATTTAATTATTTTTCTTATAAATTCTATGATGTCCATATCTGATAAATTTATATAATTTTTTAAAAAACAACTTTTTGAAAATCGATTTTTGGAAAGGAAAGTATCAAACTTTTCAGAAAAATTACAAAAAAAAAAATAAAATACATTTATGATGTAATAAAAAAAGTTATTATTAGAAAAAAATCATAAATTTTAAAATTAATAAAAAAATTAAGTTTACTATTATGAACAAATAAATTTTATGAGATTCTAATTAAATTAAGAATAAAATAATAAACACATTTTTTTATAAATTTAAAATTCATTATTTTTTTCTAATAAATAGTTTTTCTTAATATCGATTATTAATGATAGTTCTAACTAAAATGAATTTTTTAGAGAAGCCTCTTCATTTCCTTATTACGATGTTTTTTTTAATTAGTATGTTAGATTTTGATAATATTGTGCAGTATTTAATGGTGTTACTTGTACAACTTTCAGGAGTTTCAGCTTTTAGATATTGATTAAATCTGATAATTTCTTTATCATCTCTCGTAATATCAAGAGATGAAATATTTAATTAGGTATTCATAAGATTTTATTCTTCCTTTAAAGTCAAAATAATAAAATCAACTTCTTTTTTAATTAATTTTAAAATTTATAATTTTTTATTACATCAATTAATAAAAATTTTTAATAAAATTTTCATTTTGTAATTTTACTTAAAAAAGTTTATATTTTTTTTAGGAAATGAATTTTTAAAAAGTTATAACTTTTTCAAAAATTTATTTTCGATAAATTAAATAATTTTTTGAAAATTTTTTAAAAAATAATTAAGTAATTTTACTTATAAAAAATTTTAAAAGAAACGTAAGGTTTAAAAAAAATTATGATGCATTCAAAACCGCAAGAGCAAAACATCTAACCCTCTTCTATTTTAGAAAAAAAAAATTTATTAAGGATAAGAAGTCAATATTTTATGAATAATAATAAAAAAATCTATGATTATGTTTGGAGTATAGGATGATGGATATGATAGTATAACAATAATTTTATATTATGTTTGATTTGTATCTAATTGAAAGGGATAGAATTACAAGAAAAATTATCATCCTCTTGATATAAGATGATTCAATCCTCTCAAACTAGATAAAATTATTTTTAATTCATAAAATTAAACTTACATGTCTTATTATACCTTTAAAAATTATATTAATAATTTAAATTATGTAAATTAAAAAAATAATTTTGATCAATAAATAAATTATTATATCTTAATTCTTACACACATAAAATATAAGATAAAATAATATTATTTAATTTTATTTTATTTATAATTTTTATCTTATTTTATCTTATTATAATTTTGTATATAAAACATTATCTATTTCCACTAAATTAAGTTTAAGTCACCACCCAACATAAAAAAAAAAAAAAAAAAAAAAAGGGTTTAAATCACCACCCAACAGATATAGAGTTCTATGGCAGGGAGGTATGATTAATGCTTAGTGTGACATGAGATGATAACATCGTGCACATGTAGTGGGTCACAAAATCAATCAACGGATGTAGTATTTATTTATTTATTTATTTTGAGGGGGGAGCTTTCGAGTTTGAAATAAGTTTGATAATTTGATAATTTAAAAATGATATGATAATATAAATATAATATAAATATAATATAAAAAAGATATGAAAAAATTATAGTTTAAAATTTTAGTAATAATTATTTATAAATTTAATAAAATAAAAAATATATTTTATATTTTTATATTGATATAAATTATAATACGTCATTTTCATATAAAATATTATATAACTATATAAATTTTAATATTTTATATAATATAAATATATGAATAGTTAGATTTAATTCCAAGTGATCAGAACATGCATTACCTGTCTATTCAACCTACATAACATATCTACTACATGAAGATGTCATAAATTGAATTCAAATTACTGAATGCCTGAAACTAAAACTTATGAGCAAGCGACACCCCACTTTTTTGGTCAAGCATCTCACATATTTCTTGTTTATGGAGATAATAGTCCATTACTAATGTATGCAACATATTGCATGTCCAACTACACCCAAAATTTATAATCTCCAAATTATAAAATTCGAAAGCATAAATAATAGAGTAAATGGCATTCATAATTTTCAAAATTTGAGAAGTGTAACATTTTAGTTTTAAAAGTTTAACAAATAACTTGTTAATCTTTAAAGTTTTAACGTTGTATCAAAATAATTTTTTCATCAATTCAACCATTAACTTTATCATTTAATTGGTCTTTGATCAAAAAAAGTGTTTGATGTGACATTTATAATGATTAAAAAAAAGAAAAAAACCAAAAAACCAAAAATATGAAAAAAAATAAAAAAACAAATGTTTCTTTTTAAAAATTAATAATTTGATCGAATATTATAATTCAAAATAAGTAAATTTTAAAATATTTTATTTTAAAATATTTTTTTGTTTTAAACTTTAAATCCTAAATCCAAAATAACCTGAAACTAAATTAAGTGTAATTTTATTTTTAAAAAATTAATTTAATAAAAATAATAGATATAACACAAATAAAAATAATAAATATAACACAAATAAAAACTTATTAGAATTATTAAAATATCAAATTAATATATATTTTTAATATCAAACTAATATAAATCATATATATGTTATGTTACATATAAAATTTCTTATAATTTATAATATAATTTAAAATAAATTATATATTTTTAATTATTATTGGTATATTTATCAATGTATCATTTTAAATAAATGATATAATCTTTTATAATAATACATGAGTATTAACTATCATATGATTTAGAAATATATATAATAAGTTGTTGATTTGTGTATGTACATTATATTTATGTTATAATTATATTATTAATTTTAATCATGTAATTTACAATAAATCATATAATCAGTTATAATTATATTAAAATGATTATTTATATCTTAATTATATTATTAATATAAAAATAATTGTAAATTAAATGTGTATCATAATTAAATATTTAAA